TCTGAAGACCAACAAAGTTGTCTTCCGATGTACAAAGGCTCTGCAACGAATCTTCGAAATTGTTAGCATCGCGATCACCTTGCCCTTTTACACTTTGCGATATATACGTACCGGCCTAACGGCGCTAACTTGATTACAGTAACCAATAGGCAATAGTCCTAAATAAAACTACGTCTATCCGGAAGGGTCTGACGAAAGACGCCGAGAGAAGCACAGTCGAACTTTTTGACCCGCGAAAGTTCAAAATCACGTTCGGAAAAGCCAGAATTGAGACTTATTGTAGATACATTTCGAACTACTTGCACTATGTTTGAAATTAGTAAGCGATCTGTTGGATAGCTGTTAACGGTTTAAGGCACAGAAAATGTAACGCAAGGAAAAAATTGTTGCCTCGGCTTTGGTGGCCTTAACGGTAATAGTAATAATAATAATAAGCAGGCAGTGTTTTTCAAATTAGGCAGCAAGTGTCACGGTCAGGGACTCAGCCAAAGCAACAAACTTTATGAATTCATGTTAATTCTGAAAATTTTGTAGATCTTTAGGGTTAGGTCGGACGTTATCAGATTAGCTTCTTCTCGGTTCTCGGGCTTCAGAGTCTATTAGCTAATGAACTCCTTACTTATGCTATTTTTTAAATCTATTATCGTCTGAGAAAGTTTGTATACACATGTCTTTGTGCAGGCTTTTTACTCAGTGCAAAGCTTAATTGCTTAACAACAAAAAAGAAAAGCCAACGATCTGGGAATTTGAGTTCAGCACTGAAAGTGCCAAATAAATATCCCTATGTATATAAAGACGAAAAAATTTTCCAACATTATAGGTCGTGTGTTATTTATTAGCGCAGAAGATAAAAACTACTTTAAAAAGCTTTCAAGCCTTTATATTATAATGGATCAATGCCATATTCAAGCGCATAACAGTGTTGATTACAAAGTGGTCTATATAATTTTCTACAAATAAATTTTGTATTATATAAAAACCGATTGTTCCCCGGCATAGAGATGACGGCACGAAATTAGGTGGGCATGATTAAAACCTATAAAAACAAAAAGATTCACTAAGAGGGTCACCTTCTTCATTAATGAAAACCTACTTTTCTTGACCGCGGAAGCAGTTGAACTTCACTTACTTCCCTAATTACTCGGTGCTCCTTGCATAAAAATGTAGGAGATCACTTGGATATATAATATACATCTGTATGTGTACATTTCACTACATGTACCTCTTATGTAAATAGAGTCTTGGCATGAAGAAAGCCCATAGATGAATACGCTATGCAACAATTGGTGAAGTATACTCTAATCGAATTGCGGCTGAAATACGCTTACAAGATAACTTATTGCAAAAAGCAAAGTTGTTACACTCACAAAGTTAAACAGGCATTAACGATTGGCAAAGTCACCCATCTTTACGCTCGAACCGATTGGTTTATTAATTGTTTGGTTGACAAGTTTCTAACTTACAAAAGTGTATGCATGTGACGCTGTGCCAAATACATTCCCCTAACTACTAGTAAAAATGAAATAATAATATTGTATTGGAAAAAAAAAACCTTTATACACAGCCGTGACCTGAACACTCGAATATGAAAAAAACCTTCGCTGTTGTCCTGGATAGAAAGATCCTTACTCAAGGCTACTTTATGAAATGACAAAATGGACTGACGAATATTTGTATCAGATATTTCTTTGTTTTGATGATTTATGAGCGAAGTACATCGCCACATCAAGGAAACGCTATATAGATTTGTTATGCTCCGAAATCTAACTCGAACCCCATACCTTGATCTGGAAGCAGACCTGAGTGCGAGATATATTCCTAACCGAATTTGCTTTTATCTAAGCATACATTTGTATGGGACATATGACGAGCCTACTTGTACATATTTAGACAACCATACATTTTTATTTATTTATTATCTATTTAGACAAACATACATTTTTTGAACAAAATTAAAAATAATCTGACCTGGATAAATACTTTGGTGGTAGTATAGGCCAGCGAAATCAGAAGAGATTTTTAATAACTGAGGCTGATCCTGAATGCCTTCCTTGGGTATAATCGTTTGAGCAAAGCAACTCCTTGTTATCCGTATTTTTGAATTTTAATAAGCTAGTATTGAAATACTAAGTAATCCAGCTTATGCGAATTTTTAATTCGTACTTAGTACTGGTCGACTGTTATCCTGCCCTAAAATTTTATTAAAAAAAATGCCCTCTTAGCGTTATGTCAACAGGTCACTAGTCAGTCCTTAGCCAGATTTGCCCCGATGTCTCAAAAAAAAACAACGAAAACTGTATGTCCAATTTTAAAGAATACAAATTCTGACATCGCCTTTACCATTTCGACATTGGTTTGACACTGAAAAAGCCCACATCTTGAATCAAAATGCGCTGTAACACCAGGCATCTGTTTCTTCCCCCCAGGTCACAAAGAGACCATTCTGTAAGTTTCAACCAACCTTGCAAGATCCTAAAGACACATGTTTGAATTTGAAAAGAATGAAAAGACCTTATTTTTTCGACGGGTTCTTACCAGCGGCTAACCATAATTCGACAGGAACTGACGCATGGTAACAGAACCACAACTTTTGAAGCTATATCGGCTGTGAAATTTCAAGGGCAGCGTAAAGAGTGATTTTGAGAAAAAGCACTATATAGCTGGAGATAAGGTTTCGTGAGGGTGAATTTACAAAACCAATATTCAGAGCAACGGCTGAATCGGTACGTACTTCTACGGCCCAACCACTTCTGTTAACTAGGTCAGCCGGAAATTTAAACTGCACGCGTTTAGCAGATAGCATACATCACAGATAAAATAGGAAGTGGTAAGCCAGTCACTGTAGAAAGATAGAACGCGCTGAGTAGAAGATCTAATAAAGGATAAATAAAGGCACGGACGGCGCAGCGCTATTCAAGGACTAGGAAATGAAACGAAGGAGGGGTCTGCTCTGTTGCTACTTGTTAAATCGGGGTCACACTGATAGTTACGATGCCGTCCACTCAAATGTCCTGCCTGCCAGTCGCTCGGTGGCAGGGTGGTATCTTTCTGACAATGTTAAGCCAACGCCAATCACTCTTATCCCGATGACGACATAGGCGCCTGGGTCCCAGTGGCCGTCATTCGTTTATCAGGCCAAGGCCCTAGGGCTCTTTCTTGACCAAAGACTGTAAAGCACTGAAAGCTGTGCCAGCATTAGTGAGAAGCCCAGTCTGTGTTACTTTGACCCCTCATTTCCCATCTCTCTTTGTACCTCGACCGTTTCCTACCACGTTGCCCCTTGCCTGAGTGTTTGTGCCGCTGCGTGAAAGCAGCCTAAAAGAAGAGCACCTTTGATCGATGGAATGATTCTTCGCTACTAATACCCAATGCACAGATAGCTTGATCAGAAGTCCGTTTCCAAAGGCCTTGTGTGGTGTAAACCCGATACTCCACAGATTCCTAGAAACTACTTGATTCGAATAACCGAAGTGCCGCCTCGTTGATCTCGCTTGCAGCCCATGAGCAAAGAGGCACCGATGGGTGTTCCTTGCCGGGGGCGACATATATCCTTGGTCGGTTTCGTGGGGTGGCAACCTCCTAGGGTTGACTCTGAGTCGAAGTCATGTTAGGGAAATGAGGAAAGCATCAGTTCTAATTAATAACGCGTAGCTTAAATATCACAGTTTATTCTTGCCAGTTTAATTTTCAGTATAGTACGTATAACAATAACTGTCTCTGGTAGAGTAATATTATCTAAGAGGTTGTTGAAAATTCAACTTTAAATTGTATTACAAATTAGTATGCGTTGTTCGTAAGCGCTAAAAATGATCAAATAGGCAATATGCATAGTGACCTGTTTGATTACTCGTTACGGAGGGGAAGAAACAATCAATAGGGGAGCAATTGAATTGAATGTGTGTTCGAGTTTAGGCCCGTAAGTGAGGAATTCTTTCTTCACTGCGTTTGCAGCTAATATCGTTCAGGCCGTACTCAATGAAAACAGCATTGCCATAGCTAGAACGAAGTTCGTTAAACAAAAGATATAGGCTCTATGTGGCTTAGATAGCAATTAGCCGTTACGACGGATCCAAGCGGCTCGTGTATTGAAACTATCTCAATAAAGCAGATTCTATTTTTGCCGTATACTATTCAATACGTCCTGTAAACACGGGGCTGAAGGTTCTTTTAACGTTTCGGATAATTTGGGTAATCTTACTATATCCAAGTAACACATCAGTCGTTTAGGAAAGATATGGCGCATTGAGCGTAATTGTCTGGTTGTCTTACAATCTGCATAGAATTTTAAGAACAAAAATTAGGGATTCACAGGCTGATATACTGCGTTTGAGTGTAGAGTTGAACAAATAGAACTATCTTAAAAAGATCTCCTGCGTCTTCTGGCAGATTGCTGCCCCTGCTGATTAATTTCTGCACCGATACCTGGCTATGCTCTTATTATTGTTGTTGTCACAGTACGACTCAATCCAGTTGCGACTGATCGTTGTTCTAATAGTGGGCGCATAGACTGGTAGTAAAAAACTCCTGCTTTCGCGTTCCTTGCGCCTTCCATCAATAGAAATTTTTTGGTCACCTGGTTTTACATAAAACCACTATAAGTGATTTGCAAAATGTATCTGAACAAGCACAAAGCATACAGGCGCTTCTTGGCAATTTTTTAATGAGTTACGCCCCGTTTTTTAAGTGCGTAAGTAAAGCTTGTCATATTTAAGAAGTACCAAAGGCAGATATTACTTCATCCGGTCCGAATTTTCCTGCTAGCAACAATTCCACCCATTATAGCTGCGATATTGAAGATGGCTATTGCGATAAATATTCAGCAAGATGTACACGTAGTTCAGCATTACTATTATTCTATAGAATAATAATGATGAACAAAAATATAAACAAGTTCTAATTCGACTCGAGTCAGGGGGTCCGTTTTAACCCCCAACTCTACGTGCATATATTTGTTATATAAGGCAGGCTGTGTCTCTATTACCGTTTACTTGAAATTGCAGACGTTACCCTATACGCGCATTATTTGTTCATGGCCTTCGACCAGGACCATAATGGCACCGTCACTTTCCAGGATTTTGTCACAGGACTTTCCGCTCTTTCCAAAGGTACAATAATTGATAGTTGTTTTTCAGATAATTTCTCGTATTTTTTTTATGCTATGATCGTAGTCAAGTACTCGCACGGAGCACACGACTGAGCAAAGGCACATCGAAACTGGCATAACATTAAGGACGAGTTAAGGACATTTGTTCATGCCTCAGGTAATCGTATGTATAACATGCTCATGCGCGAGTACTTGGTTAGCCACGGAATATGTTCTTTCTGTCTAATATGTGCGATTGGCCTGATATTAAAAACGCTATTTTTTTAGATCCTATAGGGCGTGGCAGATAATAGATACGCATTATATAAGTATATTGAATCTTAGGGTGGAGTAGCTTCACGGATTGGCAAAATTTCTGTTCATAATTTAATGTCTCTCTAACGAGCCCGACCGATACGAACGTGTCACTGCTAAACACGGCAACTTCGCCGGACTTCATTACCGAAGTTTTAGAACATTTCTTTTTCAAAAATCCTTCAAACTATGAATGGGTTAATTCGATAGAATCATTTTATCTTAAGGTCAAATCTGACTTTATCATGTGACTGATCTTTTTAATACAAATGTCGTAGTTTGTGATTAGTCTAAAACAGCTGCGCTATGACATAAGTTTAGAAAAATATCAACTGTGTGCTTTTATTGAACTTATAAACGGTAGCTAGGATTATAAAGACACAATATATATATATATAATGAGATCTGTTTAATGATATACACACATCATTTAATAAATCTCACGAGTATAATGATAGGAGCTACCTTAACAAAGGCGTCTCTCCTTGACGAGACGACAACGAAATGATTCCGAAAGTAATTGTATTATACCGACTAAACTTCCGAAGGAGAGGTTTAAGTAATAATAGATTACCCCTCAAAGGACATTAGTTGCCCACTGTTGACTCATATTCACATTAGTTTTCTACCTATTTAGTAAAATGTGTCGATCATTTTAGACGATTCTAGTTTTCGAGGGGTTTTTTGTGACTAAGTCAAAATCATTCATATACGACATGGGTCAAGAAATATAATCCTATTTGATTGCGTGATGACCTGCTATCTTTAGCGTTAGTTTTGAAGCATGTAACACGCAAGTACGAGATGGTGACTATATCACGGAAGTATACATAAGCATTCAGCAATAAAAGCGAAGGTGCGACCGATAACTAGAACTGGAATCACCGTCGACTTATTGAACAGGCCGGTCTCCTCTATGACAATCGAGAAGCCAACTAAAAAATTGTCTATTAAGAAGTATACAATTTTTCCTGCTTTAACTGCTCAATGTAATTGTATCATATATAAAGACATTCAGATACAGGTACAGTAAATTTACCGTAAAGTGTTTGACAGATTTTAATTTTTCCGAGGACCAAAAACGCTGTCTTGTAGAACTCCGTTTAAGAAGAACGTTGAAGAAGAAAAACGTTAACTTTGTTTACGTAGTGGTAAGGAAATGTTAAGGCAGACCGCATCTTTCCCTTGAATACATCATTGAATTCAAGATTTTCCATTGAAAGCGTCTACTTAGCCCGATAAAAGTCACACAGTGACTATATATATAGACCTCATGTTCGATTCTCGGAATGTCGCATATTCGAGACGCTACACCGTCCGCTGGTTGCCTACCATCGAGCCGTTCCCATGATCGTTCGAGGGCCTACCTACAACGTAACATCGTCCGCCATGCAGCCCTTTTCCAGCGCCTTGCCCCGTCATATGGGCCCGAATACACTGTTGTCCGGACATCATTTGCCGTAAAAAATTATACGTAGTAGTAGTAGGGCGTGACCATATATCAAATTGGTTGATTTGTGAAGTGCGCCAACCGAGCCTCTACTTCCATTACAGTTAGAATCATTGCTCAATTCTGTGAGGAACCGGGTATGGGACGGCTCACTATACTTCATTATTATTAATTGAAGATAAAATTGTATAAACATAACAAGGGAGCTAAATTTTCTAAAAAGTATTTACACAAATGTCTTTAAGCAGCAGTCGGATCGTAAGCAAGCCTTCCGAGGATCTCACGAGATGCTTCCAATTGGAGATCAAACTTCAAATATAAGGCGACTGCTTGCATTCTGCGATAATTTGGCTTATATGATCTATATGCAAAAATGTCATTGCTCAGCGCTATACATATCTAGTGCTTATTATGTTTAACCCGTTTGCTGGTTATTAACCGGTAACGATAAACGATAAATTTCTGTATATTACTGTAATAGTTAGTGAGATGCTTATACACAGTTGTACGTATGAAGACTTGTAACCGGTATTTTAAGGACTTTATATCGGGTGTCTTCAACGAATGTAGATAAAAAAAAAAAAGCCCTTCAACGGTATTGACAAACCCGTTATTGACGAATGAGTTTCTCTACTCTTCTGTATTATCTTGTTATATTGTAGGGCTTGACATTTGAATTTACGTAAAAAAAATCCTTGAATACAATCCGCCGCAAATGTCAAATACAGTCAAGATTTTTGAAATATTGAGAGTTTTAGTAGTAGTTTGATCTTCACGAACAAAAGCGTATAACCACTGATTCTGAAGACATCGAATTACGCGATCTTGGAAGAGATTGCATTGCCTGCAGCCGACGTTCGATGGCAGAAAATGTGTTGTATCTAACTGTGCAAACGCAAGGAAGACTAAGCTCACCTTTTCGTCTGCTTACTCACAGATGTTTAAATCGAAAACGAGCTATCTTACTCGACCGAAAAAACATTACTACTCGATCGTAATTGTACCATTATATTCAGTTGACAACGCACCAGTATGGGCACAAATGGTACTTATTGGAAGAACGTCCCGCCCTTATATAGCAATGGCAATGCCTCGAACTGTTAATACGGGCATAACACTTGGCTGCGTGACCCATTGAGTCGTACGCGCTCTCACCCACTTCTTGCCAATATAGCAGACGCAGTGATTTCCGTTAATCGTCGTCCAGGATTTGCTGTGAAGAGGTTGTGTGTACCCCAACTATTGTTGAGCCGTCGTTGTAGCTGCTCTATTTGCTTGAAGCAAAACTTTAGCCTCGCCTGCGGGGACCGTGTTCGGTGACACACATACGAGAGATCTTCTACGAGTCGAATTAAGATCTAGTAGTGTCGGTTACAACCGTCTACGTGCTCTAAGGCACCGCCACAGGCCCTTGGCCTTGCAGCTTGGCCAACCACTACGTCCATACTCGAATTAACTAGTCTTCAGTCAACTTCACTTCGACGTTTCTATTCTCTCGCGGTCACCAAGTTCACTGGTCATGCTCTAGTACCGGCAAAAGTGCCATTTATTCAAGCAATACCTCGACAGAAATGGCTATGATATATAGCCACGGGCTATATACATACATATATATGTATTAAACTTTCAGGTCCTGCTCACTGATAAATCGTCGATTACAAAATTCATTCACCAATGATAGGAAAAATGCCGAAGCGAAATCTGGAAAATGAGTAAATGGAATAGGAGGTCCCGCCTAAATAAGGGGGCTTAGCACGGAGTAGGGTGACTTCCTTTGTTCACTCGATGCAACTAGGCTTGACCGCGCTGCTTTCTATCGGATCCCAAAGTACAGGATCCTTCCACTCCTATCGAACGCACAGTATCGTCTTCATGGCATAGGTTCAATTTTTTGAGTTTAGGCCTGTTTCCTGCAACTACTTTTTCTATTTTCTGCTTTATATTTATGTGGACACCATTTCTCGTCCCCGTTGACAATTTTGTATAGAAACCAAATTCACGACCTGTTTACGGAACGTTATCTTTCTAAAGCGCCTTCGATTGGTTTTCGTTGATGTGAGTTGACCGATCAGGTCCGGGTGCATCGTTCATTTCCAAGATGGCACAGCTGATTTTTGCAAACTAGTCGTGAGCAATTAGAGTCGCAGTTGTTTACGGCGCAAACCTCTATGCTGTTTCAGCGGCTGTCGGATCTTGACAAAGAACGAAATGAAGTAGATGTTGAAAATGCGCCTCTTCTACTTGGAACCTTCCATTTTCGCAACAATCCGCATAATGTCGCGGTCACTACATAGAAAAATTGCCTCGGATTTACAGAGAAAAAGGCGTTTTCAGACACTATTTAGAAAAAAGGCGTAAAACCAAAAGGATACATATATGTATAATACTGGCTGGGTTGTGGTCGAATATTTTTCCCGTCTACAATACAGAAGCTCGTACTGCAACGGGCATGTAAATACGAATACAGAAAAAAGAGATAATTTTAAATATGATTTTGTCATTTAGACAATCATTTTTGTCTTTTCAGTGCATCGATTCTTCTACCGCTGGTCATATTTGCTTTTATAGTTACATAATATAGACCATCCGTTGAAATTTAATTGCTTGTACCCTTTAACGTACGATTCGTTTTGTACTAGCATATAATCAGTATAATCCGATAATGAGAGAATGCATTTTGAGCATATACATGAAACTAATTCTATAATTTTTGCAAATCATGCCCTGTTATACGAGATGTCAACTAATTGATCGCTACTTCGATATCGAAGGCCTCATATGACTCCGTAGCTTTGTAAGTGGCCACAGCCACGCGCCCACTCTTACACAGGATTCTACTTTTCGTCTATTGTTGCCTGGCCTGCAATTCCCCAGATATCCCATTTTCAGGAAAAGGACGTTCCATCTTGTTGCGACACATCCTTTACACATGAGTATAGCAGTCAAGCCACCTGTACGTTGGCTATACTGTATGCAGTATTGGGCAACAAGGAGTCTGCCCACAGGTCTATCCTTAGTTCACGGCTGTACATCGGTCAGTGCAAGCCGATACCAAGCAATAAAACAGGAGTCTTCAATAACAGGCGCGTCATTATGGCAGCAAGAAGCAATAAGGCCAACTAGGCTAAAACTACCACGATGACAAGAAATTCTCGGCCTTGCAATTTCACACACATTCCCGAACCTTCGCTGCCTAAGTTAAATAAGGAAGGAACAAAATAATAATAACGGCCAAACTGCTGAGGCATCAAGTAAGC